CTGTCCCCCAGAGGAGGTGACACTAAACTGCCTAATTCATGCCGCTCGCAGCTCTGGCCAAAAAAAATGCCAAATCCCAAAAATGCGGAAACAAATGGGGAAATATTTTTAATGTGACAATGTGTTGAGCAAAGTGTCCTTGTCTGTTTTGTGTGTGTTCTCCTCAGACCCACAGAGGCGGGGACATTCCCTTTCCTCCGTCGCACCAGCCAAGCCTGTCACTCCATGCAGCCCTCCCAGGACTTACAGAAATGTTTCTCTGCCTCAGTTCTTACCTCCTTTTCTCAACAGGCCCCACCCCTTTTCCAGAGGAGGTGTCAAGCACCCTTTCATTCATCCTGGGCTGGTGGAAGTCCAACCGTGCCTGCCTTGGGGGGTCCTCTCCTGGAGGGGATGAGTTGGAATGGGGAGACCATCTCATGATGTTCTCTGACTCCAGCCAGCCTTCCTTGCTCTGAGCCTGCCCTTCCGCATACGGATCTCCAGCTTCACGTGTCCTATTCCAGACCCTTCCTCAGAGGCGAGGAGAGTGGCTCCCTGGGTAGGTAAGCGTTCCCTTGGCCAGGGGACTCATTGGCTCCCGCCCGTAGCTTCCCAGACGTCAAGCTGTGCTGAAGAAGGTTCTGAACAATCTGGTAGCATCCTGTGTCTGGGCCCGCAGCCCAGCCCCCTGCTCATGGGAGAAACTGCCGAAGTCACCAGTCATACTTCCACTTCCTTTTCTTCCCCCTAAGCCCAACTCTAAACTCCCTGCCCTCACCATGTACACTTTCAGCTGCCACTGGAAGCTGGGGACAGAGCTAGAGCTCCCATTCTGAACAGCCTTAGGGAGACAACCTCAGAACGTGCCCACTTACAGGACTCGCCATAGACCACCTCCTTCATGCCAGCATCACACGGATCAAAACTGCCCTCTATACCAAACCACGCCCATGGTTGAAACTCCTCTTGAGTTTGTAAAGCCATGAGGGTCTCCAAGGAAAAGAAAAAGAGCAAGATCGAAAACCCAGGGAGGCCTGTGGCTTGGTTGCATAGAAAACTCCTCACCCTGAGCTGATGAATGACCAGAGAAAGGCAGGGTAGCCTAATGGTTAGGAACATGATTTTTTTTTTTTCTTTCTTTTTTTTTTTTTTTGATTCAGGGAGACTTGGGTAGGAATTCTGGGTTTGCCTCTGGCTGTGTGATCGCAGGCAAGTTGCCCAATGTTTGTGTTACTTATGAAGCGAGATTAATAACACCCCTATGAAATTACCTGAGAATTGGTTGAGATTGTCTATGCAAAGCCCCCATTTTTGTGCCACTGTGTAGTCCACACCCTGTGAGCTGTATCTGTCGTTGTTTGCCTGAAAACAAGCATGTCCCTCCCCAAGAGTCAGTTGCAAACCCATCCCTTTGTCCCGTCCACACGTCTCAAACAGGCTCGAGGAAGGGGAGAGCATCTCTGTACCCAGCTGAGGCAGCCCCTCCCCGGCACCCACGTCATAGATCCTCCTCTCCAGCGTGGACACGCGGCAGCAGCAAAGGCTCCCGGACCCCGCGCCACCCCCTACCTGAGGGCTGCTAAACAATCTAGGTGCTGGGGTTTGGGGGAAGAAGACTTGCCAGGTGGGGAAGTCGGGGGCCTGGCTCCTCGGCGGCTCCTCTCCCCCTCCGAGGACTCCTCCGTCCCCCTTTTTCTCATTCTCGGGCTTCCCCTCTCCGGGTTGCTCTGGCAGCCGCATCAGGGGTCCAGGGCGATGTTCTCAGAGAGACTTAGGAGCACATCAAAGGAACGTCAGCGAAGGCGCTGAGACTCTGCAAGGAGTTGACAGACACTTACAGCCTGCACAGTGCCGGGCGGCTCTTTTTCTCAAAGCCAGCCGCCTAAATAATTCACACCCTCCCTTCTGTGTTCACGCAGGGCAATGGTGGAAACACAGCCCTGGCACAAGAAATATAATTACAGTTGTGACAGATGTTGTTATTAATCAGGCCGCAGTGTCACCAGAGGGTATTGCATAACCAGCCAATAATGGGCTTTTGGAGCCAACCTTCATATTTACAGGAGCTTTTCCACCGGCGCTCCCGTGGGCATTGCTGGAACACGAGCAGCATGGCGAGAGCTACGGCCACCGACGTGACTGCAGCTTGCAAGGAAGCAAAGCACCTCACCAGCATGATGTGTTTCCTTGCTGCGGACAGCAGGACAGCCACAGAAACGAAGCGGGGGGCTGAGCTGGAAATCACCATCTAACGGCGAAGGACCCTTGCCAGGCCTCCCAGGCTTGGCGATGCTGTCACAATCCCAGGGCAAGGTCTCCCTAACTTCCTTAAAGCGAAGCACCCAAGATGGCATCCCGTCACCAGCTGCACTGCGGACTTAAAGCCCGCGCATTAGGAGTCTCTAGGTCTGCTGGATGTCACCGAGTGGCAAAATCCTCTTTCCATCTTGCTCTCTGATATCCAGTTACTGCCTACTTGTCCCTTACAACTCAGCTCAGGGGCCACCTGCTCTGGAAAGCTGTCCGTGACCTGGCCCTCTCCCTTGACTGGGTTAAGGCACTCCTCATCCCTGCCTACTTCCACTGTCATTGGTCCACAAGCTTCTCCCTCCTCTCAACATTGTGTGGAGAAAACCCCAGCAGGGAATATTTCAGATGGGAACTGGTAGTTCAGATGTGGCAATAGTTTTGCGGCGTGGCATTCAGGCCCAGGCAGGGACAACCTTAAAATAACTGGTGCTCAGTAAGCATGTATTGAACACACATTGAATCAATGTCAGTTCTGTTTGGTTCCATATTGAAGTTAAAAACAAACAGCAATGAAGACAAAGCCTCTCTGGAGATGTGAAGTTCAAAGCATGTAACTCAAAGACATTGGTGATGAAACCCGCAAGGCCCTGGCCACCATGCGTCAGGTCCCCGTCTGAGACAGCTGTGCCCACGAGGATGTCTGCACATCGCCGCGTGCAATGGCTTCCCATGGCAACACACAGGTGAGTCCTCATTTCCCACTGCTGGGCCCCTGAACGTCGCATCCTGGGAAGAGTCCAGCCTCCCTCTTTCTGCTCTCTCGATTCTGGTGACAGGTGCATGCCCATGCCGGGGAAATGGTCCCCTGTCAACGCCAGCTCTTAGGAGATCAGGCTTAGAAAATAACTGCAGAAAGCATGAAGAAGCCTTGAAGAGCTGTATGTGGACTGTGCACATCATTGTTGCAGATTATTGTAAATGTGCACACAGTAACCATTCAAAGTCAGCCTCACTCGGCTCCCATGAAACAGGCTCTTCTCAAAGCCCTGTGTGTAACTCATCTGCCACTGGGATAAATGAACGAAGGACAGACACATAAACCAAATGGATGCTTTGTCATGTCCACCTGGACCAGAAACCCCAGCGGCCTTAGCTCAGAGCTGGACGAGATGGTGTCTGGGTGCCCCTGACCTCTGAGGTCTCTGGTTCTCTGAAGGTTGTGGGATGGAGTTGGGCCCTCCATCCCACAGGAATGACAAAATAGGACAGGAAGGGTGTTATGTCCTGTGATTGGGCTGGATCTGAAAGACACATTAAAGAGAGTGTCTCAAAGCAAGAAGCCATGTCTCACCAAACAGCACGTGTGCAACGCATCCACACAATCGCACTTGGCCTAAACACACACATGCACACACACATATGCACACACGCACACACATGCCCATGTGTGCACGCACACCCATGCACGCACACCCATGCACACACGCACACACATGCCCATGCGTGCACGCACACCCATGCACGCACACCCATGCACACACGTGTGCATGCACGCACACACAGGCACACGTGTACACATGCACACACACACACCCACGCGCACGCACATGTACACACATGCACATGCAGGCATGCACACACATGTGCACACGCGCACACACACATGCGCATGCACACACATGCACACCCACGCACACCCAGGTACACACGTGTGTGCACACACACACACCAGCACTGGTCTTCAGACGTGTGCTCACACACCAGCCTTGTATCACTCATAGCCTAGGGGTGATGTTAGGCCCACCTAGCATGGTGGGGAGGCCTCAGGAAACTAACAATTACGGCGGAAGGCAAAGTGGGAACAGGCCAGTCTTCACACGCCTGTTTCCTGAGACATATGCCCAGGAGCACTCACCCCCGCACCCACATGGCTCCCACGCAGCTTCACACAGCTGCACACTCTGTCCCCATCAGCACGCACCCGTACGCCGCTCCCTTACACATGCCTATGACTCATATTCACACACACTACAACGCCCACTTCCCCACACATGCCGCACATGCTGGAGCTCTTGGAGACTTGTCTAGTTAGCTCGTTAAGTTAAACAGGAGAAACAAGTGTGTCATTACAGTAGAAATGCAAAAAAAAATAACATTTTATTTTCAAATATGCTTTTAGTTGCCATGGCAGTCCCAGCACCACGAAAGTTGTGATTGGTGGTAAATGCATGTTTCAAAAAGCAGCAATTTGCTCCCCATGTGCAGAAACTTCTGTATATGTTGAGTCCCCTCTCCTGTCGGGTCCCTCCAGGCACCGTGGACATCAGAGCAGGGCACCCAGATGAGAACTGCCGGGAGCTCTCTGCAAGGGTGTTCCAGGCTGATGGTCGCCCGGCTTCTGAGCCCAATCCACTTAATGACTTGGAAGCTGCCCACAGCTCTGAAGGTGGCAGATGCCCGTAAGGAACAATTGCCCCTGCTGCTCAGCCAGCCTCTGGTGCCCTCACTGCAGCACTTGGGATGTGCCATAGAGACACAGAACCAGGGGACCCAAAATGGAGCTGGCCCCTGTAGCCAGAGCCATCTCTCCAGAATTCCCCTCTCCCAGTCACAGCTGCCTGCTGCCATGGTAATGAGGGAAGCCAAGCTGCCCTGCACAAGCCGGTGTGACCACCCATGACCAACCAGTGAAGCACCCTGAGCTGGTATCCGCAGAGAAGACAGACCTGCATCTTCCCCCCATTTAACTGGAAGCTTCTCCAAGACAGGCACCTCCTGAGTCCCTGTGGCCTTATGCATCTTGGGACCCAAGGTGCATTTCCTGATAAGCTTCCTTGTCCCCAAATTAACTGGTTACCTCATTTCCTGATGCGATTCTGAAGGGGGAGTAATTTCCAGAATTTGTCCTCTAAAGTCCATTTGCAAATTGCCTTTGTAATCATCATCTGAAAGGCCAGCTGGGAGGGGCTGGATTTTTGAGCCCCCGTCTTGACGTTAGAGCTTTGGCTAATCCCTAGACCCACACTAGGGTCCTCCTCAGCTCTTGTTTCTTCCTTTTTTTTTCTTTCTTTTTTTTTTTGTGTGTGTGAGACGGAGTCTTGTTCTGTTGCCCAGCCTGGAGCGCAGTGGCGTGATACCTGTTCACTCCAGCCTTCACCTCCCAAGTTCAAGCCATTCTCCTGCCTCAGCCTCCAAGTAACTCAGATTACAGGTGCAAGCCACCACACCTAGCTAATTTTTGTATATTTAGTAGAAACGGCTTTCACTATGTTGGCCAGGCTGGTCTCAAACTTCTGACCTCAAGTGATCCGCCCACCTCGGCCTCCCAAAGTGCTGGGATTACAGACATAAGCCCCCGCACCCGGCTCCTTGTCAGCTTTTCAGTCAGTCTTTTAGGGCTCAGACCAATAGGAGGTGCTCTTATCCACCCAAAAAGTGATTCAGCCTTGGGTCTACCCTTCGAGTTCTCCATCACCTGCATCCCTTTTACCAACCCATAATATTCAGAGAATGGTACAGTGATGGGGTTAAGAACATCACTAATCAAATTAGACCATGCAGTTCAAATCCTGGCTCTGTCACTTAGGGGCTGTGTGACCTTGGGCAAGTTACTTAACCTCTCTGGGCTTCAGCTTCCTGATCTGCAAAATGGACCTGATAATAACAACACCTACCTTTTAGAGCTATTGTGACATGTTAGGCACAGAGCAGGCGCTACATACGCTAGCTACCTGATGTGGTTTGGATTTGTGTCCCCACCCAAACCTCATGTGAAATTGTAATCCTCAGTGTTGGAGGTGGGGCCTGGCACGAGGTGATTGGATCACAGGGCAGATTTTTCCCACTTTCATGCTGTTCTTGTGATAGCGTTCTCGTGAGATCTGGCTGTTTAAAAGTGTGTGGTGCACACATTCGCACTCCTAAGTGGGTGCTGAACAATGAGAACACATGGACACAGGGAGGGGAACATCACATACCAGGGCCTGCGGGTGGGGGGCAAAGGGAGGAATAGCAGTGGGTAGGGGGATTGGGGAGCGACAGCAGTGGGTGGGGGGAATTGGGGACGGAGAGCATTAGGATAAATACCAAATGTAGATGACGGGGCGATGGGTGCAGCAAGCCACCATGGCACGTGTGTGCCTATGTAGCAAACCTGCACGATCTGCACGTGGACCCCAGAACTTACAGTACGATAAATTAATAAATAAAACAATAACGTGTGTGGTGCTTCCCCCCTTCTCTTTCCCTCCCGCTCTGGTCATGTGAAGACATGCCTGTTTTCCTGTCACCTTCCACCACAATTTTAAGTTTCCTGAGGCCTCCCCAGCCACGCTTCCTGTAAAGCCTGCAGAATCGTGGACCAATTAAGCCCCTTTTCTTTGTGAATTACCCAGTCTCAGGGATTTCTTTACGGCAGTGCAGTAGCAGACTAATACGCTATCATTCTCCATTTTTTTCTTTTGCACCAATAGACAGTGACGGAGCTCCTTCTCTGCTCAGAAGGACGCTGGACTGGGTACAGAGTGGATAGAGGTGGGACGTGCAGAAGTGAAGCCACCACAG